CTCGAAACTCAACCAAATGGGCGTCGTCATCAGCGGCGCGCACTATTACGACACGTTTGATCGCAAATCGACCCCACTCATCGACTTGCACAGCAGAAAAGAGCCCAATCGCTCCACCACTGAGACACTGGGACTGACAGACTTTCTCGATCGAGCCAACGTACGTCGCGTCGACCTCCTCTCTGGGTTACCAGTAGAGACGCTATCGCAACCCGTTAACCTCATGGTTGACGTTATGGCACCGCTTTGTACAGACTCGTGGGAGACCAAGGCTCAGCTGTTGTTTGGCAACTATTTCCCTGCTATTCGTCATGAATTTTGTCGCGATTTTCACGAATTGTTTCCAAGGGATCGATTTTTTAACCATCAGTGGATAAAAACGTGGCGGAAGTGGGAAACGCAAGTCTCGGTCTTATAGCTGTCATAAACATGTCGAAGTCTACTTAGACCACTTTAATGACGAGCTGGTGGTGCGTAAGATCATGAAAAACGTGCAGGAAGGTTACATGCAGTTGGAGCTTGATGGGTACACTGATGAAGTGGCTGACGCGATCGTGGGTCGATACAGTAAAGGGATTGCGGTCGATGACGTTATCGCTTTGCTACCATCTTCTTTCGATGCTGACCACGTGGCTTTAGTTGATGCTCTTGGCGTTAGCGCTTTGCTTAACTATTATTTGGAGTCTCAAGAGCTGACGATGGGGACAAATGTGAACGGAGAAGCTGCCATTTCAGCTGAAGTGACTCACGCCACTGCCGCGTATTTTACGCCGGATTTTCTGTCGACTACCGTTGGGATGAACTTCCTGTCGACTACACACTTGGCGTTCTTCTGGGAGTGCTCAATCTTACACACGTCGATGGACAAGACGATGAGAGTAGACGACGTAAACGCGTCTGCACTGAAACAATGTGGTAGGGAAGTGGCCCGACATCTGCCGATTGTTATTGCAAATCTCATGTTTCTCTTTCAATCTAAGGAGAGAGATTACACTACGCTGGACAATACTACGACGTACACATTGGGTCGAAGACGTGAGTCGGATTCCGACTATAAAGTTCTACAAGTCCCAGAAACGCTTGATGACTCGCCGCTCTTCTCTATCGATGGATCCAGCTGGTCCAAGACCAAAGCAGACACGTCGTCAGTAATGACGCTATCAACCACTCCATACAAATATCTGTATACACCGGACTGTAAACGACTGGTAACTCAAGCACTAAGTCAGAGTGGGCGCAATGTACAGAAGTATCAAGCGTATCTGGGAGACGGCCTTGGTAACTGTGCGCTCCGAGATTCCCAGGAAACAGATCAGCAAACACTCTGCCGGTTGTTCATGACTTTCGGATGAGGTTTCATTCCGCGATCTGGATGGAAATCCGGTAGATATTCCGTCGTGTGCGTCGCTGATGGACAACTCTACTAGTGAAGAGAACCAGAATTTACAGCAAGAAAATCTGCGGCAGATCGAGTGGCTCATGATCGATACGACGACGTTAGCTAGAAGAATCCGCATCATCGACAACACCAGTCGACAAATCCGCACGTTCCTGCTGATGCTCAACTTCATTGGGGCGTCTCACTACGCTCTCCAGTACATCTACAACCTCAAAAGTATCTGGATCTTCATCAGCAATAGCGTGTTACAGCCAGCCGCAGAGGAGCGAACGCGTCAAGCAACTATCGACAATATCAACCACCAGCCATCCCCAGTCGTTCGCCTTGGAATTCTGGAGCTACTGATGTGTGATCCCGCGGATGGAGCACTGGAACACCCACTCACCATGGTACTAATGTATCTTGGCGCTATTGGATCGTTAAGTAACATTTTCAGACCAGAGTGCACCGCCCAGCTGTCTACGATCGGAGTTGGTATAGTGATTCACTGTGTTCCTGCCATTCCCGTTAGCAACATGAACCTCGTGTTAACGACACTTAGTAGCAGCTACTGGGTTATCCGTGTGACGTTGCAGTCCCAGTCTCTGGCCATGCGTCTGGACCACGTCGTTCGCGACAACTTCATCCGCTTCTGGCTCACCAACGCATGCGCAGTGCTCGTCATCCACTTTACGTGCAAGGGGATCGCTGATGTCGTGTTCAAGAATATCAAGCTGAGCTCCGATCCCCATATCTACGCCATTCTCGGAGGACTGGCCTTGTCCTTAGCGATCTCATCTGGGTTTATCCTCGTTCATATTGCTGGAACGGACAGAGAAAGGTTTACTACGTTTATCAAGAAAAACTCTACCAGATCGTTATGGAAAGCGGCACACGACCGAGCTATGAGCTATCGCGCGTTCGTCGCTAGATGGAGCACGAAAGACCTCGACTCGGTGTTATATCACTGCGCGTCGCCACAGATTGCGCGTCAGTTGCAGATTTCCAGCCTACCAGAGCAACCAGAACATCGCGCATGGAAGCAAGGAAGTCGATCGGAGGACCTCGTGGACAGCCGACCACCGTCCATTCGCATCAATGACTTTGTCGCTGTGCACTGCGCTGGAGGAGCACATTTGCACTTGCAAAGTGTCAAGTGGTATCTGAAATCTGACGGGTGTGGTGGGGTCACAACAGCTGAATTGATAGTAAGGCACCCTCGGGTTTACACAGTAGATGCCGATTCCCCGGACGTCAGCAAGGACGCGCCGAGATAAGGTAATTAGCTAGCAAGTTTTGTGGACGGGGGGGGGGTAGTTTTTTATCGTTGAATACTCATTTACACTATATTAACTAAACGAAAAAATATTTCCAATCTAGTAAGAAGATTTGCTTTTTCAAAATACTTTTAGGTGGCCCAATTATTGGCAATAAATATTAAGAAAACAGTGTTCCTGAACAGAATTTAGCTAATGATAATATTGCCTCACAGACACTACTAATGATGAAAAACGCTACATTAACAGATACAACAGCCTAATTTTGTCCCTCCCTGCGCAAATAGCTCCGCGGCAGTGCTTCCGCCGTTTGGTATTTTCCTACTTCCTAACTAGAAAAAAAATCTTACGGTGAGTCATAATGCTATCTGTAAAAAAGTGTTCTGTCACCAAGTGATCACTTCGTACCCTTTTATATATTTATAATACTCAAGATTAAGACTCGGATGACAAGAGCTGTACCATACACCTGGTGGCATGACGACTCGCGACATTCACAATAGAGTGCAATATTGGATCGACGCAAGCTCTTTCTATCTTAGGAATGGAAGACACCGGAAATAAAATCTACGAGCTCGAGACGAAGATAGTCCGTACCACGCCCACCTTTCTTCTTCTACATCTAGGATTTGATCCGGACCACAGATTGAAGCGATGGCCGCCCTGGATGGGAACGTCGATGTTAAGGAGAGGAACACGGTGACAGTGCAGAGACTCTCTATGGATGGTCCACGCTTTACACCAGACATGCCGAACCACGCCAAAAGGACCACCACACAGGGATTGCGATCTCACGACTACGAGATCACGTATCGAACGTGTGTAGCGATTTTCGTGGCTGTCCTTGCTGGAGTGAGTATGATTCCACTTAAAGAGTACTATCTGGGTAGCTACGTCACCAAACCGTTCGACGAAGTGCGAGACGCGATCGCAGCCAGGAAACTCAACCAGATGGGCGTCGTGATGAGTGGCGTACACTATTTCGACACGTTCAGTCGCTCTCTATTCCCCCTCATCGACTTAGAGACGAGAGACGAGCTGTCTCGCTCCACCGCGTCAAGTATCTCACTCACTGACTTCCTCGTTCGCGCGAACTTACGTCGAGATGATTTACTCGCTGGTCTTCCGGAAGAGATGCTGCAACAACCTGTAGACCTCATGGTTGACGTGTCAGCTCCGCTTTGTGGCCCTGTTACCGATACTGTCAAATCGTGGGAGACGGAAGCGCAGCTCCTCTTCGGTAATTGGTTCCCAGTCATTCGTCACGAATTCTGTCGCGATTTTCACGAAACCTTCCCACTCGATCGATACTTTAACCACGGGACTACAGCACCAATAGACGCGAATCTGTCACAGGTCGGAGATGTTACACTAGGCCTCATCGCGGTAGTCAACATGTCGGAAGTTTATTTACGCCATTTCAACGACGAGCTAGTGGTGCGGAAGATCATGAAAAGCGTGCAGGAAGGATACATGGACATGAGTCTACCCGACTACACGAACGCGGTTGCAGACGCTATTGTCGAGCGATACAGTAAAGGGATCTCGCTACGCGACGTCGTGGCGCTACTCCCGGGGTCCTTCGATATCCACCATGTGGCGCTTGTGGACGTTCTGGGTGTCACAGCTTTGTTAGAGCTTTACTTGGAGACGCAACAACTCACAATGGGGGTCAATGTCAATGGCGAGGCTGCGATTCTGGCCGAAGTGACCCACGCTGCAGCCTCGTTCTTCACGTCGGACTTCTTGATCAACACCGTCGGGATGCACTTGACGTCTACGATGCACTTGGCTCCATTCTGGAACTGTGCAATTAAACATACGTCAATGGACAAAGCCATTACCCTGGCAGATGTGGATGCTGCGGCGATTAAACAGTGTGGAAATGACTTATCCCGTATCATTCCGACATTTGTGGTGAACCTCATGTTTCTGTTCCAAAAAGATGACCGAGACTATACGAAGCTGGATAACACGACAGTATACACTTTGGGGCGTCGGCGAGAAACTATAGCTGGATATGTGGCGCTTACGCTTCCAGAGACGTTGACAGAGTCTCCATTATTGGCGATTGACGGTACCGCTTGGACGAAATCTCGCTCGGATCTAACGTCTTCTAAGCGAACAATGACACCGTACGGATATTTGTATACACCTGACTGTCGAGGGATTGTTGACTCAGTGATACAGCAGAGTGGACGTAACGTCCAGAAATATCAGGCGTATATGGGAGATGGACTGGGTAACTGTGCGTTCCGTGACTCGCAGGAGACGGAGCTTCAAACTCTCTGTAGATTATTCATGACGTCGGATGAGGTTCTGTTCCGTGATCTGGATGGTAATCTCGTCCACCTTCCGACATGCGCGTCGCTAGTCACGTCTTCCGATCCGAAAATTCAAGTTATGGAGGAAGAAAATCTACGCCAGATCGAGTGGTTTATGATCGACACGACTCTGATCAACCGACGAATCCGAATCCAAGACAACACCAGTCGACAAATCCGAACTTTCCTGCTGATCCTCAACTTGATTGGCGCTTCGTATTACGCTCTCGAGTACATCTACATCCTCAAGAGTGTCTGGATTTTCATCCGGAACAGTGTATACCGACCTGTCGAGGAGATGCAATCCCGTCTCCCGTCGTTAGAAGCGATCAATAACGAGGCCATCCCGTTAGTTCGTATCGGTTTACTCGAGTTACTCCAGTGTGACCCAGCAGACGGAGCACTGGAACATCCGGGAACAATGGTGTTAATGTATCTCGGCGCTATTGGCGCTCTAAGTAACATCTTCTCGCTCGGATGCAGCGCTCAACTCTCCACTGCGGAAGGCAGTATCGTCATTTATTGCACGCCTGCCATCCCTGTTCGAAGTCTCACACTTGTGTTCACTACACTAAGCAGTAGCTACTGGGTCATCCGAGTGACGCTACAGACCAGATCGCTGGCGATGCGTCTGGACCACGCTGCTCGCAACGATTTCCTTCGGTTCTGGACACTGAACGCCGCTGCTGTGCTGGTGATCCACTTTTTCTGCAAGATCGGAGCTGATCTTGTGCTGCGGAATGCCGAGTTGCACTCCGATCCGCATCTGTACGCGATTTTTGGAGGCTTGGCGGTGGCTCTCATTATCTCGGCCGGGTTTCTGCTGCTGCATTTAGCGTCCACAGACTCCAAGAAACTTAAGAATATGGTGAGAATGCGCACGTCCAGGACGCTGTGGCGTGAGGTTTCCGCCAGGGAGTCGGACGACCGTGCGTTCGTGGCGAAATGGAGCACGAAAGGCCTCGACTCGGTGCTGTATCACTGCGCAACGCCCCAGATTGCAAGACAGCTGGAGCTGTTCGGAAGTCGACAACAAGGTGGCTCCGGACTGGCCGGGAAGCTCAAGAAGTTCGTGGTGGATCAGCCAACTGGAGTTAAAATGCACCAGTTCGTCGCTGTCCACTGTGCTGCTGGGTCACACGCGCACTTGAAGACTGTCAAGTGGTATCTGGAACCGAACGGGAGTGGAGGTGTCATGAGCGTGAACCCGACACCACAGATGACGTCTAGAGTCGTATGCACTGCGGAAGACACAATGAGCGAGTAGACAATACTGACCCGTGATAATATTTTTCTAATTATAGTAGTATACTGCTAACGTGTAGCCTATGGCCATTCCTCGTAAGAGCACAATAAGCATGGACTCCTTTGTGAAGCCATTGGGGACCGTAATTTAGCTACCGGCTGAGATCGTACAGCTACATAGTTTGCAGCTAATTAACACGTTTCGACTCTGTCGGATGATTAATTCTGGAAAAGGTGCGTCCGTATACTTGTACTTATGATTCTAGTGCCACGTGGGCTAAGTGATAACGCCCCAAATTCCTGGTCCCCCTCTCTCTGCAATTCAAGCTTAGACTTTAGCTGTAGTTTTCAGCAGTTCTCCTGGACGGTCTCCTGCCATGAATTTCGTGTTGTAATACTTGGAGTACTCTGCAAACTGTTTGAACGCAGGGATCTTGTAGAGATGGTCTTGCATGCCTTCCCTATACGCACTCGCAACCACCTTCGACAGGGGCGATTTGACCGCGTCGTTATGCTTCAAGCCGTCGAAGTAGTGCGAGGGTAATACTCCAGCACTGAATAATTTCTCGAACTCCGCCTTGTCCTTGATCAACTTCGCAACTACTTTCTTTATTTCCCCCTCCTGCCATTTGTCCCTGATCAGAGATAAAGGTAGCTGTAGGGTCCGCGCTCTTCGTCGCTCAAGTCTTCACTAGCTTCAGCTGTATCACGACTTCTCAGGACTCTCCTTGACGGAGCTTCATCTACTGGACGAAGCACGTCTGCGGACGAAATCTTTAGCTGCTTGGATGGAGTTGGCACTGCACCTTCGGAGGCCGCGAAAATGGCAGCACTGCCAACGAGAAGAAAGTAGATGAAGCGCATACTGGGCCCAGTGCTAATAGAAGACAGAAGTGTCGCGCCTAAGGGGTAAATCGTAGAATGGATTAGCACGAACCATTGCTATTTTGTACGTAGAACAGGGTTATGATTGCGCTACCTCGTAGACCTGGCAGGAAAAGAACTCAATAAACATTCAAAGAAGATTGCGAACTGACGCAGCGCCGACCTAAAGAGTTTGAGTGA